AGTTCCCCCTCCTCCTTCCTACCAGCAAGGCCTCACAATTTCTCAAAACAACGCCATGTCTGGGGACCAGGTATTCAAAGGGATGTATGTGGGGGTTGAGGAGCAAGTGCCAGATTCAATCCACACAGATGATACAAAAAAATAATGCCAATAGAAACATATAATCAATATGTGGTTGGTATATTGTTTTCACATGTAGCAAATCAGTCTTTAACACTTTTGAGAAAGTGGCAGATGCTTTCTAACTCTTTCAAAAAACATGTGTTCCCTGACACAGAGCCCTAGGGGCTACACCCAGCAAAAGCCCATTGTGGTGGTTTAACTGCAGTGCCCTTGATAGCCCTGGGCATTTCAATGCTTGGCCTGCAGTTGGTGATGCTGTTTGGGCGGATTAGGAAAGTGGCCTTGTTGGAGAATGCGCATCACTGAGAGTGGGCTTTGAGGTTTCAAACCTCACACCATTCCCGGTTTATTCTCTTGTTTCTGCTTTGTTTTTCAAGATGTGAGCCTTCAGTACGCCATCATGGCCTCTAAACTTCTGGAAGGGTAAGGCAAAATAAAGTCTTCCTTCTGTAACTTACCATGGTTGTGGTGTTTCTATCACATCCATTGATAGAGAGATAATTCAAACAGCTGGCCCTCGCTGTGGCACGGACTGGAGTGGGAAGCAGACAAATTCCAGACCCTGGGACCAGTGTCAAGCTGAGTGCCTTGGAGTTCATAAGGGATTGAAATTCCAATCCCATCTCTAACTTCTGAATCAGAAGCTGCATTGGAAGAAATTTCCAGAAGTTATCTGTGTACTCATTAAAGTTTGAAAAGGACTGCTGCATATCCCAAGACCATCTCCCCAAATTCAGCATTAGGAATGAAGATGTTGAAATAGTTGTGGAGAATGAAAATATTTATGGCACTTGTTCTATTTGGCTCATGATAAAGAATTTTAAGTTAGAATCCCCCTCCAAAGTCCCTTTGTCTGTTTATCAAGTGCAGAGTTGAATAGTACAATGAAATAAAATGACCCTTTATTCATTCTTATAATCACTTGCTTCCTTGAATATTCAAATCTTGTGTATTTAAATTTACATTAAATAAGCTGAATCACGATTATTTGCTTCAGTTTGAAAAGACTATCCAGTGGTACCCACACCTTAGTTTTCTTTCCCTTTCAGATTTCTGAATGACTAGTTAGCTATATTTAATAACTAGAACCTAAAAATGACTTCAGCCAGTTTTTAAAATGTAGAGGAGACATTGTTTTAAGAAATTACACTAACTACTAATTATGGTGTTCAACCCAGATTCTGGATTAGATATTTTTCCTTCTCATTTTTCTGCATAAATCAATTTTTCTGTAGGAAGTATATGTCAGTTTCATTTTCAGAAAATCATATTTTTCAATTTATAACTCATAGACTCTTGTTCATACATTTAATGAAACCATAAAAGACAAACTGTTAAAAAAATCCCAAACTATGTTAAAATATTCTCTGTGCTTTTCTGTATTATTGGTTTTTTTTATATAATGAATATGATTTTTCTAGAGGAGTTGCCATAGGCCTTCAATAAATGTTGACGTTGTTTGGAAAGTATCATTGACTGGGTGAGGAAACCCAAAAGCACAGTTTTCACCTCAAAAGGGAATAAGAGAGGTTTTTTTTTTTTTTCCTATAGCCAAATATGAACACTCATGGCCCTGGAACATAGATTCATGTTTGCTCAAATATCATGTTTCACTGTAGAAGTGGTTACATATGGTCTTTATTACTGACAGAAAAAAGGAAGTCGTAAGTCCAAGTAATTCCCAAACACACTGTTGGAGGCCACAGATATACAGGTCAGTGCAAAGCAAGGGAAACCCCCTGTACCTTTCAAAGGCTGTCTCTCTGATGGCGTTCTTCTTAGCTTTTGGTTTGATGAAAGCTAGTGGCCTGTTAAGAATACATTGTAAGGTATGGAGAGTGACACAGATGTTAGGTCAGACACAGGTAGGAGCAATATGTGGCTTTCAAAGGGACTGAAAATAGACCAAGATGATTTGGCTCTGGTCTATAGCATTGGTCTTGAGGTCCAGTAATTTGGCCTCATAGAATCTTTAACAATGATACTGTATCTCTTTCTGTCTCTCTGTCTCTCTATCTGTCTCTCTCTCCTCAGGAAGTACCTGTAATATGCATTTTGAGATGCTGTCATCCACAGTGATTGCTTCTAGGGGTTAATTTGTATCTCTGCAATTAAGTCAAATTAGTGAATTATAACAGACAATCTTCAACATTGCCCTCCATCCAACATACTGACATTTTTATAGGGATTGTTTAACAAAGTTTTCAAAAACGTAAATGCATTGTTTGTCTATAGTTTCAAAGATAAGGTTATGTAGGTATTAATAGACATCTCTAAATGTCTTTAGATTTGATGGGACCAATTATATTCATTAAATAGCTTAGTTTTTAACAAGAAGATAGAGACCATAAAATTGAGAGGTTTTAAATATTTTAAAGTTTTGATTCTTCATAAATTTCATTCTTGGTGATAGAATAAAGAATAAGCACCAATAATAAGCCCTGGTTGCTTGGAGTGGGATAGTTCAGATGCCTTTTGGACTCTTTAGAAGTGTCTAAAGGGTTCTTCTGTGTTTGGCAGTCAGCTGAGAAACCATGTGTCTTCACAACCATAAAACAATCTGGAATACTGAGCCAAAGTGCAATGTATTTTTTTCTCACAGTACAACATGTCCCATTAAAATACCACCTTCACATAATATATTCACGTGTATCATCTTTTTTGGTTTTCTCGGTAGCATTTAGAGATAGTTACTCATATTACAACAAAGGAAAGAAAGGACACTCAATGGCCTGCCCATGGTCCTATCAACCGTGAAGCTCTAAACCAGCCTTTGACCTTAGCTAAGAGAGTGCAAACCTCAAGTACTTTCTATTCAACCGGGCTATACACATTAGCACAAATAGCTGACAAGTTGGATGCCATTGTTAACTAAAGAGGCAATATTGTGTGATGATCAAGAGGTCAAGTCCTTGACATTCTGTGTTCAAAACCTGCTTCTGCCACTTATTAGATTGGACCACTCCAGTTCTCTGATGGTTCTTGGTAAGTATGGCTGTTTTAAGTCTACCTCATAAGATCAGTTTGAAGTTCAAAAGAGTAGCCATGGAAAAAGCAGTCACCACAGGCCTAGCAATAGTAAGTGATTAGTAAATGCTAATGATTTATTGAGCTTACATTACCCTGGATGCTCTAGGAATTTCATGTGCACTACTAATTTCTACAAATACCACAAGGAAACATGTTTTGAAGTTTCAATTTTGTAGAAAAAGAAACCAAAACTCAGCAAATGTAAGAAATATGTAAGGATAAGTCATGAATCTGAGATTTTTAGCCCAAGTCTCACATAGTTCAAAGCTATTCCTCTTAATTATATTTCTGTTAAAAAAAATCATAGCTTCTGGTTCATAAGAATGCAAAATTTTTAATGAATTTTTTTTCTCAAATTGAGGGAAGTAACGATAATTCTTGAGGGTTAGTGAGTCTTATCCCTCTGGCTACTTTAAATGTATATTCTTATTTTCAAAAAAAAAAAAAAAACCAAAAATGCGTGTGAGTGTATGTTACTTATGAGTTCAGTATGTGGACACACAATTTTGTGTGCATGTGGAGATTGGAGATAGACCTCTGATTTTTTCCTCAATCTCTTGTCACCTTTCTTTCTTTCTTTGCTGTGGGATGGTCTATATGTCAAATGTGTTGCTGATTGGTCAATAAATAAATCACTGATTGGCCAGTGGCCAGGCAGGAAGTATAGGCGGGACTAACAGAGAGGAGAATTGAGAGAACAGGAAGCGGGGTGAGGGAGACACTGCCAGCCGCCACCATGACAAGCCGCATGTGAAGATGCCGGTAAGCCACGAGCCATGTGGCAAGGTATAGATTTATGGAAATGGATTAATTTAAGCTGTAAGAACAGTTAGCAAGAAGTCTGCCACGGCCATAAGTTTGTAACCAATATAAGTCTCTGTGTTTACTTGTTTGGGTCTGAGCGGCTGTGGGACTGGCGGGTGACAAAGATTTGTCCTGACTGTGGGCCAGGCAGGAAAACTCTAGCTACATTTCTTTCTTTCTTTCTTTCTTTCTTTCTTTCTTTCTTTCTTTCTTTCTTTCTTTCTTTCTTTCTTTCTTTCTTTCTTTCTTTCTCTCTCTCTCTCTCTCTCTCTCTCTCTCTCTCTCTCTCTCTCTTTCTTTCTTTCCTTCTTTCCTTCTTCCTTTCTTTCTTTTTGAGACAGTGTTTCTCCCTGAGTGTGGAGTTTGCTGGTCCAGTGAGTTAGCTCCCATGGGCTGGCCTATTCTGTTGATGCAGCCCTGGGATCACACGTGTCCTGTCATATTTGGATTTTCACATGCAAACTAGGCAGGAGACTCAGCTCTCCATGTTGTACAACAAACACTCTGTTCACTGAGCTTCTTGCCAGGGTGTCATTTGGTTTTATAATAGCTCTATAAAACAATAGGTACAAGTCGTCCTGCAAGACTAAAATGTTAATGAAAATGAGTTTATGAAACAAAAATCAGAAGTAATGTCTATTTTTATGGAAAGTTAAACATATAAGAATGTAAAGCTGGATGGAGAATGTATTCTGTCCTTAGGAATTGATCCTTATAAGTTTCTATTTAATAGACTTAGAATGTTATTACTTCAATTATGTGTTTTTTTCTGAGACATTCTGTATAATATCTAGAAGTATTTAGAATAGCTATCATGAATAACTAGCATTTTCTTGCCATAACACTGAAATTGATAATTATTTTCTCCTAATTAATATAGGACATTTGGGGGTGTCAGAGTTCAATGGAGTCTTTGTTGGCTCTTGGTGTGCTTAGAGAGGGAACAGAGGGTCCTGTAAAACTTAACACTCACCAATGCTGCTCTGAAGAACCATGTGTTCTTCAGTTCTTGTCTCAAAATAAAATTCAATGGTCACAGAGGCTGAGTTTTAGAAAGGATTTTATTATAGGTTCAAGAGAGTGGGGGCAGAACTCCTGTATAGCAGGTCAGTGTCCAGGATACAGAGCATAGGGGTACTAGTCTGGAGGATTTTTAATGAACTATGGCAGAAACTGGGATGAGAAGTGGGGAAGGGAATGAGCTGGTTTCCCAACACTGTGTCCAGGGGCCTCTTCTCAGGTCCTCAGATGTAGCTTCCTGTCAAGAGTAAGGGATAACAGTGAAACAGGAAGTAGCACTCTTCCTAGCCTTGAGCAAAGGTATCCTTGAAGTTGTTGTTTTGGGGTTCCTAACCCACTTGACCAGTTTCTATAAGATGTTTTCATCACAATGGTATTCCCTGAAGAATTATCCCCTGTCTCCATATGGATTGAATGCCATCTGCTAAGGGTAAGTTCTTTATACTTTTTAAACATATAAAGCAGTTTTAAAGATACATCAGAAAAGTTAATGTTTTTATTTTAAGAAACAACCAAGAGATTGAAATAAAAATGTGAAAACTTCATGGCAAACTGTGTCTTAATAAATCAATACATGCCAACTTAGCTACAATTCAGAAGAACCGTGACTTCCAGGAGTGGCTCTTAGTCATTATGAGTTAAATCAGAGAACTAGATCTAGTTACAACTAATTGTTACCTACCAAAACGTAGATGTTATCCTATCTTATACTGAAACTTGCTACTACTTAGCAAAGTGGACCAAACTTTAATAGAGAAAACAACTGGTCTACACTTTCACCAAGAAGTTGTCCTTTTCGGTTGGGATTGAGGCATGTTTCCTTTATTGCAAAGGGCAGTTCATATTGAGGCTGTCATTTATATTGATGTTCTTTTTTCAAAATGACACCTCCATGTAATTTTTTTTCTGCAGAAAAATTGGACTTCAGTGTTCAGGGTCATTGGTAAGAGATCTTTCACTGATTCAAAATTCATTTAAAATTTTTAGGAAGAAGGGGGAAAAACAAACAACAAAAACAGCTCAGGAAAAGGAATGTGTTTTCAACTTGGAAAACTCAGTATGTTTTAAATGGGCTTACTGAACAGAAAACACTTGTTTTTGTTTTTTCTTTTTCCACTGGAAATTTAATAAGAACACATGGAGAAACTTTTCCCTAGAATTTTGTGAAAACTTACAATTACCACAGAACTGAGTACAGTTTGTTTGCTCCCTCAAAAGCAGAGATGATTTTTATTGACCAATCTTTGATCTGAGAGATTAAAGAAAATACTGCATGAACAGCAAGAAGGATAACACCACGGGGGTCAATAGGCATTACTCGAATCGGAAATGAAAGGGAATCATTCTGTTGGGATATGGAATAATTTAGCATTCTTTCTGGGAACTAGAGACTCATTCTCTCTTTCTTTCTTTCTTTCTTTCTTTCTTTCTTTCTTTCTTTCTTTCTTTCTTTCTTTCTTTCTTTCTTTCTTTCTATTGTTGTTTTTGGGAAAAGAATCAACTATGAGGAGGTTTCTCCATGACTTAATCCCATGGCCACATGTGAGGTCATTTGGAGGGCACTGTGCTCACTCACCAACATAATTCTGTAAGAAGCTTTTTAGCCGAAATGGTCTGGCTGTCCCATTCACACACCCTTGATTGAAATGTCTCTGGCAGACTTTTGGAATGCAGTTGAAAGGCTTAGTGACTCAATATTTTAACAGTGAATACATTTCCAATCTCATAGAAAGTTGCCACTAACTACTGCAGAGGTTACATCTCTCCAGTTTTCCCCTGAAATTGTGAATGAAGTGGTATTCCAGTTTAGCTGAGTGTGGGGAAATCAGAATATGATCAATTCACACTGCCATTATTTGCCATTTTAATGCACTTTTCTTCACTGGAAAACTATTCGGCCTGCCATCTTTGAAATGATAGTCTGTCAGAGCAGTTACCTTCTTTGCCCTTATTTTCATAAAGAGAAGGATGCTTTTCCTTTTATTTTTACTATGTGCCAGGGAATGAGAGTTGGCTGTGTAACATCTGGCATGATTGTGACTGGGGATAATACTGAATGTTCACAGCTTACAGAATATTTACCAAGACTCTTGAGGTCTGACAAAATGTTCAAGCTGTGCTTTTTCATTCATCTCAAAGACTACCAAAGAAATAACTAGTTGTATTTCTTTCAATTTGATAAAGTTCTATGGAAAGGCTGGGCAATTTATTTTGGGTTTCTGTTTGGGTTATCTGTAGCAAAGTTCTTATTTGCAAATTTAAAAGCCCATTTCTTTTCTCTTGGAAAAAATTTGGATATGAAAACACTCTCATTATCATGTCAGTCACTTACTACCTAGATCAATCCTATTCTTGTCCTCTAGGAATCTAAAGGAGACTTAGCTTTGCAATGACATCCACAACTGGAAAGTTTAGATTGAATTCCCTGGTTTTTCTCATCTCAAGGTACCAATCCACATTCTCTTAGGAGAGGCTGAAAAGGATATCCTCTATATCATTCCCACTCCTCTTCTGATCAATTTATTCTAATTTAGGATTAGCATAATAATAAGGAGGTTTCTCTTCTGCAGAGGGTAAAATCACATTTTCACAATATTTGCAGGGGTACTGTTGCCAGCTGACATGGTGGGCTGTGATTTCTCTCTTTATAACACACTTGATTTTACTCTTATTTATTAGGATTATCCTGATGCCACTCACTATTCTATTCCTTGGACAAATCAAACTAAGCCAGTTGGCTTGTCGTCTCCTTCTCAGGGTTCTCACTCTGGCTGCTATTAAGAATTTTGTGTAAAGCAGTGCTCTCCTAAACATCATTAATATGCTAAAGTTGACTACTGTTTTAGAATTAAAATTAATATGAAATGTTAAGTAATCCAGGGGACTGATATTTTAGCTGAACTAAGCATTGATTTATCTTTGACCCAATGCAGATAATTCAACTCCTTCCAGGTGGATGGAATTTAGGAAGTTTTTGTATTGAAGAGGGAACCTGAGCAACATTTTATAAAAGTTACAAAGATTTCGCATTCTCTTTCCCTCTCTACCTTCTCCTTATTTCCCTGTGTGTGTGTGTGTGTGTGTGTGTGTGTGTGTGTGTGTGTGTCTGTGCGCGCAAGTATGTTTACATGTTTCTGTGAATGACTGTTCATGTGTATACAGTCACATGTGTGGAGACCCGAGGTCAATTTCCAGTATCATTCTTCAAGTGCCTTCCACCTTGGTTTTCTCTCTCTCTCTCTTTCTCCCTTCCTCTGTCTGTATGTGTGTGTGTGTGTGTGTGTGTGTGTGTGTGTGTGTGTGTGTGTGTGCATTGTGTGGTGTACACACATGTGTGTAAGGGTGTACACTCATGTGTAGCACGAATCTCAGAAGGTCTTATTAATAAAAACAAACCCTGGGCCAGGTATTAGGGTGAATGCTGAAAGATCAGAGAGACAGAACAGGCCACAGCTAACCTCACCTTGACAACTTCTCAGCCGATCCTGTTTCCTCAAACTGGAAACCTCTGTGTCCTCATCTGAGTGGATCTCAGCTGAACTGCAGCTCAAAATCCCAAAAGCTTAACCAGGTTCTAGCTCCTGGTCCTCACACCTTATATACCTTTCTGCTTCCTGGGATTAAAGGCATATGTAACCATACCTGGCTGTTTCCAGTGTGGCTTTGAACTCACAGAGATCCAGACAGGTCTCTGCCTCTGGAATGCTAGGATTAAAGATGTGTGTGCCATCATTTTCCGGCCTCTATGTCTAATGGCTATTCTGTTCTCTGACCCCAGATAAATTTATTAGGGTGCATAATATATTGGGAAACACAATATTACCACACTCATAAGTGTGCATGTGGAGACCAGAGAATGATATTATGTGTCTTGCTCTATTTATTTCTGTCTTACTGCCTGGAAGCAAGGTCTCTCATAGAACTAGAAACTCTGTTGTAGCTAGGACGGCTGAAGAGAGAGATTGCTAGATCTGCTCTTTCTAGTCTTCCATGCTGAAACTGAGGACATGTGCAGATGTGCCCAGCTGTTTGCATGCATTTTGGGGGATTCTAACTGAGGTCCTCATGTTTGCACAGCATGTACTCTTACTCACTGAGTTATCTCCCTATCCTACCTTGTTCTTTGTGAAGCAGGGTCTCCCATTGGCCTGGGGCTCACTGCTTGGGTTTGGCTGGCTGGCTATTGAACTCCAGGGATCCACCTGTCTCCATCCCAGAGTAGGGATTACTATGTGCTACTATGTTGGATTAAAAAAAAAAATTATTTAGACCTAGAGAGTGAATTCAGGCCCACATTTTTGCATGCCCAGCACTTCCCTGGCTGAGCTATCTTTCCTGACCCCAAATTTCTCTTAATATGGGCAATCTTTGGTACTCTGACCAGTAGTAGAATAATAGTGCTAGCAAGCTAAAGTAGCTAGCATCCTTCCTCATCTTGCTATGTGGTTTGGGCTGAAATCAGTTGTTGGGTGCGTGTTTATCTGAGTGCTAAGGGACTGTTGTATGATGAGTAAATCAGTGCCGTAGATCCTCTTGAGTCTTGGTAAGCTAAAGGACTGTACTATAGCAATTAAAATAACAAGAGACTGGTTTATGTCTATTGAAGCCTTGCTGAAGAAGAGAATTTTGCTTAACATAACATGTCATTTGATCTTTAAGAAAGTGTTTGGTCACAAGACAAGGAAAATTAGTATGATAGGAAATGAATTTATTCTCATTCTATAAACTATATATTCATTAAACAAGCTAAGAAAGGAATAACTAAGTAATTAAGTGTTGCAAAGGACAAATTTTCAACTTCATTTGGAAGCAAATTAGATTCAAAACATATATAATTATAGAATATGCATGTGATGTTAGAAACATAACATCAAAGATGGCTCCCAACAATAGATTTAGAGTTTATATATGTTTTTATTTTATATAATTCATTGTTCTGATGTTCACATTTTCACTTTTTCAGATATTCTATGTACAAAAGGAAGGGACTGGATATGGTAGTAGCTACTTGGATTCTAAAAAAAAAACCAAATGGATTGATTTTAAAGATCTGTGCATGTATATTAATTCCTCTAAATCAGATTTTAGCTAGGGACCTAAAAGCATACAAGAACATCTTCTAGGGATGGATTTCCAGCATGTTTTCTACCCACAGGTATTGTAATGGGTATAACCTTGGGCTTCAGAAGGACTACCTAGGTTCATATTTCTGTTCTGCTCCTTAGCAGCTGTTAAGAG